CAGCAATAATGAGAAACTTAGATCAGATCAGACCACCGGTCCCGCAAGGCCACTATGAGGAATCAGAAAAGGCTTGTGGCAGTTATTTTACTGGGATCACACCATACGCCAGCATTAAAATGCTTTGAACTATAAAACTATTACAAGAAATTAGGACACAATGACTGGCCATAAGGGCAATGCGCTTCCATGGCTACTCATCTTGTTGGTTTGCAGAGGGAAGGCAGAATAAAAATAATTTACTTGATAGAGGCCTATTTCTTCATGCAGCGCTACCTCAAGCAGTAGGTTAGGTGGTTCTCCATAGACAGTCACTGAGCTAACAAACCTATCTAAAATTCTGCTATATAACAGCTCCCCCTAGTGTTCAATGGGCGCAACAACAAATGGAAAAAGTTTCTCATTCTCACATAGTTCTATTGAATTGCATACCTTAGTTCTTCCTGTGCCATTGACGCATCAGACGGTACAGTTCCTCCACTGACTAAGTCATTTGCCAGTTATGTTACCTCTTCCCTGGTGATACCAGCACATCCAAGATCCTCCTGTCACTGTCTTCTGTCAGATCTTCCTTATCCTTTCTCACCTTCTCTTCCCTTCCTCTAATACCCAGCTGAATGTTTGCTTAGTGCATCTCCCAACTTCCATACGATGTACCTCTCCCAACCATCTGAGCCTTCTTTCTTTGATGATATTTTCTAACATGTCCTGCTCTGTCATCTCCCTTCCTCTCACGTTTGTTATTTTATTTTTCTATAAAATGTATTCTCTCTTCCGCAGCCATCTGTGATGAGAAGCCTCCAATCTCTGTCATTGGCCAAGTCTCTGCTCCATACGGTAGCATGCTCAGTATAATCACATGGTATCATCTTCTCTTTAGTTTGATGGGGAGACCTCTGTTTGACCAGATGTTGTTCATCCTTTCAAAACATGATGTTTGCTTTTCCTCATCTTGTATGAATATCTTTATCACAGACACCTTCAAACATCACCACGCTGCCCAGATAGCAGAACTCTTTTGACCTGTTTAATTTCTTTTCAATCCACATACACTTTTGCATCTGTTATCCAGTTTCTTACCTTCATAATCTTGATTTTCTCAGCATTTATTTTCAATCCCATTTTTGTTGCTTCCTATTCTACCTCTGAAGTAAGATCATTCTTGTTCCACATCATACTTAGTAAAGCAATATCATTGGCAAAGTCAAGATCACATAACTCATCTCCACTAACCCATTTTACACCATCCACAATGCCTTGTGTTGTCTGTTTAGTCACTCAATTTATTGCTAATGCAAAGAGGATTGGTGATAACTCACACCCTTATCTAACTCTAGTCACAACATCAAACTACTCACCCAGGGCCTTATCCGATCTTACTGCACATCTACTTCCATCATACAAACTCCTCATTATGTTGATCAGCTTGTCTGATATCCCACAGCTTCTAGCAATATTCCACAGAGTCTCTCTGTGACACTATCAAATGCTTTTTAAAGTCAATACAGTTGATTAAGATCCATTTTTACCAAATAGTAGCTTTTTCGATGATCTGCAGAAGAGTGAATACCTGTTCACAACATAATCTACCTGGACAGTACCCAGCCTGTTCTTCTCGTAATATTTCATCCACTGAGGTCTTCATTCTATTCATCATGACAGTAGTCAATACTTTCCCAGGGATTGATAGTAATACAATACCTCTTCAGTTCACACATTAAGTAAAGATCACCCTTTTTTGGCAATGGTACAAAATACAGGTGAAAGAACTAGTGCCAGAAGATTGCCACGGACACCTTTTTATTGTCCTCATGTTAAACAGATATATTAAAGGCCCAAAACACGAACTATTGACTAAACCTGTGAACTAGTAACAGAGGCTGCGACATATAAGATTTTTAAAATAAGTCTTCTAGATAAAAATCTGTCAATCATTCACTCTTCAATCCTCTTCCTGGATTAGGATCAGATGGGAGAGTAAAGAATAGCTCAATTTTACCAAAACAGGAACCAGTGCAGTTGACTGGGGATGTACAATCAGAAGTATCTTGTAAGGAGAGTGAAAAAATAGCACTGAGGAGAGTGAAAAAACAGCAAATGCGGTTAAGGGATCTTAGTTGCTCACTGGTTATTAACACTATGTACATGGTTAAAGAGGCAAATGCTCTCCTAGTAAAATAATACTGTGGATTTCTTTTTAAATAGAGTAATATATTTAACAAAGTTATTTCTCCTTAATTTATAGAATCGTGGAAGTTAAGACATAAGATTAATCACATTGAATCCGTTCTCTTACAAGTGCAACATCACCATATGCTTTCTATGTTTTGGCGAAAGTTGGAGAAGTGGCTGCCAGATGTGATCTGGTAAATCTGGCCTGGACAAAATGAATAGAAAAGATCAGAGGGGAAACAAGTCCCAAGATCATGCAAAAACAGAACTTGAATGACTTTTTTTTGTAGGAGTAGCAGTGTAAACCCTGAAGTCCTATTCACATTCCAACTCAGACAATTATTCTGGGTGGGATTCTCAACAATGCCTAAGTGATTTAGCAGCAAAAATCCCATTGACTTTTAATGAGACTTGTGCTCATGCTGGTGCTTTTGAAAATCCCAGCTATCCTGCCTTACTAAAGTTCCCCAGCATTTTCCTTTTGGTACAGTATTCTTTCTTCCTATCATAGATTATTATATTATTTGTATTATCAAAGTGCTTAGGAGTCTCAGCCCCGGACCAGGGCCCCATTTTGCTACCCGCTGTACAAATACAGAACAGACGGACAGCTCCTCCAAACTTTACAATCTAAGTACAGGACAAGAGACAACAACAGATGGATACGGACAGATGGGGGAGCACAAGGAAACAATGAAACAATATTGGTAAGCATGACAGGCAGTGGTCTTAGCTCACCAGTACCCTGACCACTGTCAAGTTTTTTGTAGGCATCACAACAGAGGAGCGTTTTGAGACAGGATTTGAAGGAGGATAATGAAGTAGCTTTGCTGATGTTCATCCGGAGCTTCTCCAAGTGTGAGGGGCAGTATCGGAGAAATCACTTGTTTGAAAATTTAACGAGTGGGTTATGGAAGCTGGCATCATGGGCTGATTGGAGGCAGAAGTCAATTTTTTGATAGCAAATGAAAGATGATAGGCAGGGTGGAGCTAGGCCAAGAAGGGCCATGATTGTCATTCAACACATGTTAAACAGTCATAGTCCACCTGAGAAATACTGTATTTCAGCACAGGGAGAAATGTACACTATATAATTCAGTGTCACTTGCTGCCTACACAAGAAAATGACTGCCATGGGGATTTCAGGAAAAACTCTCTCACTTTCAGTGTCAGCTCTTTATAGTAAAGACTTTTCTCATACACACTAATACTTCAGTGTCAGACCTGGAAGGGATTAGGAGACCTTGTCTGAATGCCTGAAGGTGAAATTGTCCTCCTAGATTATGTAATTTGCTCAGAAATCCCTAGAGTGCTTTCAATTTTGTTGCATGAATGTGGTTTACAGGATCTATGTAAAGTACTCCATTGTAAGATACAATGCTGGCATACTATCTGGGCAATTAATGTTGACTACCATTGAAATGAATAAAAGCAGAAATGTTTAAGTTAGGTGGGTTCTCAGTACTAGTACCTCAATGTCAACACTGAGAGTGATGCTAAATGATCAGCAAAATGTCACTAACACTCTGGGCACAAGACACATGGGTTGAATGAATTTTCTTTCTGCCCAAGTTACTGCTGTTTCCAGAGAAGTAAGCATTTCCCTTGTAGTACTGTATACGACAGATAATCTTAACTTGTGTCTTTTTGGGACAGAACCAAGTTAGTCTTCTCCCCAGAGCAAGATTTCTTTACGGAATCTCCAGAGGAGAAAAAAGTAGTCAGAGAATCCACGGGGAGTACACTGTTCACTTGTGGAGTTAAGCGAGTGGTTTAGAAACAACTGAGCCTTTGTGAAAAGCTGTGTTTGAAAAAGGAAGGATGGAAAAAGAGAACAGATTAAAGCTATGCAGAGGGAGAAAATTGACTCACTCCTCCCAGTTCTCATGAGCTTAAAAATGTATGACAGGCTTAAAAATGTATGACAGGCTTCACTCACAGTTTGATGAGGTGTGCAGGAGACCTAGGCATTTCAGGCACTAGGAACACCCATTCACACTAATGCCTAAGAGAAAAAATGTTTTTGAAGCTTGTTGGAAGTATGAGGGAAGCCAGTCAAACTTCCACTCTGAATTCCCCAGAAGAGACTAAGGCTGTTGTCTGGGTGTTGATTCAAGTGAACAAAAACACGTTTCCTGAAAATCACAGCAGACACACCTTTAGTGTCCAAGGAAAACAGAGGGGGAAAAGAAGTATTTTAATTTGCTGAACATTAATTAATTAGAGGGTACAATTCTGGGAAGCTGCTGAGCATCTACAACTCACAGACTCAGGTAAGAATTAGTTTCTTCAACAGATTACACATTTCCCATACATCTCTTTGGGGACCTTATTTTCAGTCACACTATTATGCCTATTCTTTGCCGGGGAGACATCAGGTTTTTTTAGGAATGGATTTATTTTTCTGAGGATAGAAATGAGCAAGATGACTCAACACACTGAGGTTTCTCTTAGTGTCCCTTTTTATTTTGCTGAAAATCCATCCACCTCACACAGTTTCTACCTCAGCAAACATATTTTTTAAAACTTCTTTGCATTTTGACTATGAGAACTCATGCTGAACACTATAAGGTAAATACAGGCAAACAGTTTGAGAAAATTTTGGCAAACAGCATCAAATTAAACCAAATGTGCATGTGTGTAGGTGTTCATCTGAAAAAAAAGGATGGTTAGACAGAGAATTTTAGTTTTGTCCTTCATTTTTCCGTGAACTGAGTTAGACAAGTTAAGCAAAAGCAGACAAATTATTAAATTATTTTTATGAAGAACTGGTTTTGCATATTCTCATGCACTCATATACACATACTCAAAAGGAGATCTTTACTTACTTGGTTAGTTTATGGCCTTTCATTGCTATGAGGAAATCTCTCACAATCTCAGGACTTTGGAATCTGCATGGTGTTTTGGATATGTATTTCAATGTCTGCACAAAGTTGGAAAAAAACAAGTTACTCCACATTTATTTTTGCTTTATGAGTCATATGAGATCTCTATGAAACAAGTTATTTTGTGAAAAATCTCCACACTCCTTTTGAGAGAAGTCTGAATGGGGAACTTAGTTCTTTAACCTTGTTCAGAAGGTGGAATGTGCTGTCATAACTGGCACAGTCATCTGGATTTCCCTTGATTCACGAAGACCATATTCATTTCTGCTCTGAAAGTATAAGCAACAGGCAGTACCTAAAAAAGTAATTATGTGATGGAAATTATGCCAGCACTTATCTAGGAAACCCTGCTGAAGTTGGTCCATACAGAGAGACACGGTCTAATGCTGAAAGACAGGAACTCCTATGTTCTAACCCAACTCTGAGGGTTCCCTCTGTAGTGTTGAACAATCACTTAACCTCCCTGTAACTTCACTTGCCTGTCTGTAAAATTGGGATAATAGCTACCCAGATTTGGAAAGTGCACTGAAGTGTATGGATGAAAGGTCCTTTTTTAGTGCTAAGCATTTAAACACATGCAATTCAAAGGGTATTCACCTGTAACACATTTTCTTTATTAATTTGAATGAACTAATCTTAACTGGAAGATCAAATTGGGACCAAGATATTTTTAACAACATCAGAGATTTAGAATGTTTTGTATAGGTATAATTCTAACAATACAGAGGATTTCAAAACCTTGTTTAAAAAGGGATCCAGTTGCTGTTAAAACCGAACTGAAGAACCACCTTATGGTATTCATCCTTGGGACCATGTAAAGTTATTTTCTGCCAAGTGTTCATGAATTCATTGCCAGTGGTACTCTCGTTCCCAGGCCATAAATAGCTAATCTGAGCTCCACAACTGAAACAAAGCCTTCCAGCGTAAGGATGTTTTCATCTTTTACAGCTGAAAGCGTGCTGTAATCAGCATATTTGGCAGTGCTTTCTCAAAGAGCTCAGAAGTTATTTATGCAGAGCATAATTAAAAAAAACTTTGCAAGGACATTGTAGTAATTTATTCAGATATTCTCAGTGAGACAATTCACTTCCCTGCTCTGTTTATCTTTTACACTAAAATAATCTTGAAAGGATATGTTATGTTTTGTTTCTCTGTTTAAATGAATGAGAATCCAAGATGACATTATAATACATCTTTCAACTTATCTGAGCCTGTCATCCTAACTAAATGGAAGGCTTAGTGAAGAATCCCTGCTTTAGTTTTAAATAACTATATGCAGTCTGCAGTTTACAGCTCCCTTTTTAATTTGACAATAACTTATGAGCTTTCGTGGACGTTGCTTGAAAAACACCCACTATAAGGAATTGGGATCATAACAGGATTCTAGAGAATTCTTGCATTTTTCTGAAATAAAAAACGTACTAAACATTACTATTATTTACCAATTTCCCCATTAAAATACCATTTTCTATTAGAGGAACACAGCGCTATTTCACTTCTGTAGTGATTTCTTTTCAAAACTCTGCTGCTTCTTCCATTAAAAAAAATTAAGAAGTACAAAAATGTCATATTATGGTCACATCAAAATTCAGCTCCTGTTTATTAAGCTAGATCCAGCGACTACAATACCAGGGGGTACATGCGTGCACAAAACTTATGAGTGTGTATGTATGGTGGTCAGAAATTATTCTATTAAGTCAAGTACTTAAAGCAAGTACACCTAGAATTAGTCTCTCTCTACTGGCACAGAATAAATGTCTAGATGGGAAAATGCATGGGAAAGCATTGCATACACAGGCAACTATATGATTAAAGAGTTAAATGTAAATTATGTTTAGATGTAAATATACTCACAGAATGATCTTTTCCCCCATATATTTGCAACACGTGAGAATGAGATAGTAAATCTCAATGTAAAATTAAACTAGATTTTTGTAAACTTCTGTTTTATCAAATCTAAGGCTTATAAATTGCAATTTTGTCCTTTCAGACAAAAAACAAACAAAAAAGAAATCCTGGACGAAATCTTGCTCGCATGAATAGCTCCCCAGCAGTCAATGGGACTATTCATACAGGCCAGGAAAGCTGGAACTGGCCCAGTATTAACCATGGTGATATTAAAGACAGTTCTCTTCCACGGCCACCAGAGGTCAGACGACAATTTTTAAAATTAATTACATTTGATAAAGCTGCTAATTTAAGATACTCAAAACCATCTCATCCACATTAACCATCAGTAAATAATAGTTTTAAAGATTTTTCCAACAACACATCGAACATTTAATACTGAATTTGCCAGTGACTGAATGTATATGTATAATTTAGTTACACTGTGTAATCCCAGGTAGTAGTTTCTTTTTTAGTTGGAGAATTTAATTTACTTGTTTTTAACAGAGAAATCGATAGACCATGTGTGTTCTAAACCTCAGGTCTGAAATGCCTAGACTCCCTGGAAGTACAGATTCAAATACCGGCAGCATGTGCTGGCAGGCTTAAAAAAATATATTGAATGTAGTTTGCTGTGTTGAGGTCTTTTGAATGACACCTCAAAACCAGAGCCACAGCCTGTCTGCTCTCTAACGTTAAAAATCCTTTGGCAATTTTCATAAGAGCAGGAGTTTGTCCTTGACCAAAATTGCTCCTTTCCTCCATAATGGTGTGCACCAGCTAGCCAGCACTTTCCACCTAGGTGGTTGTATTTCAGTTGTGCTGTTCTTTTGGGGAGGAAAGTTATATTACAAAAGTAAAATCTGTGTTTACTGAAACAATGTTTATCAGTAGGAAAATTCCAAGACTTACTTTTGCATGTGTGATTGTAAATGATGAACAGTGTGATACAGTCCAGCCTCTGACTTGTGCTAACGTGCTAAGGGAATGTATAACTCTACTCACTTCGTACATGATAGTGTTCAGATTCTGCTGGCCAGAGCTCTGTTTATGTTTTCCACTATCTTTGCGCTGCTGCTTAAGATCGGTAAGTAACTGGAACACCTGGAAAAAAAAAAAGTATTTTATTACTAAAATACTTTAAAAGATTTTTTGAACTAGTTTAGCATTTTTTCTACTGCTGTTTTTTAAACATGTGTTATTAAAATATTACCAATCAAATACAAAAGATTGCCCTGACTGGGAGACTGACTGGGTGATTAAAATGGTATTTTTATTTTGGTAACGGAAATGGTATTTCTATTTTGGTAACGGAAAAATTATTTGTATACAAGAAATGATGAGACAGCAGATCATTCTAAATTATGATTATTGGTCTTGAATTATGTTGAACAAAAAGATGTAGAAAGTGTTGGACCAAAGCCTGTAGATATTTGAATGGACTATCAGCACTTGTTGAAGCCTTACCCAAAAGCCCCAATGGAAAAAGTGGTTACCAGAATGAATCAGCCACTTACTTTATTCTGTGCAACTGCTGCCTATGTCCCACACCCTGCAGTTCTTAATTGAAACTCCCACTGAAATCAATGTGAGTGTTGCTGGAATAAGGGCTGTAAGATATGGCCCTATCTTATAGTATGTAATGTATGTATACATTAACCTACAATATTAAAAGAAAAATATTCAAAATATTCTATTTTACAGAAACTCAAGTGTGCTGCGGGTGCAAGAAGAATGCGTGCCCTACAATTGTGTTTCTGTAACAAGCCTACAAAATTAGGCCCTGATGCTGCAAACACGACTACGTGTAGTGGTGCTACTATAAATTCACTTCAGTGGGGCTGCTTGCAGTAAGCACTATGCTTAACAGTAAGCATTTCTGGGATCAGCTTAGCAGTGTGCTCGGATGCCACAGTGATAAGTATGGTATAAAAACCTCAATAGATTTAATTAGTACACAAGTTCCTTAGAAAAAATAAATACAAGCAGCAATATTGTTGAAAAAGGGGTAATAAAGATGTCTCCACGTTTTTGAATACTCAAAACTGTAGGAATGAAATTAACTATTCAATGTTTTATGTAATAAGAATTTTTCAAAATAAATTATGTTTCAGTTTCTAAAATAAAGTATTGACAAACCTACTACACTGTTGCTACATCTCTTGCATGACAGCCAGAACTGTAGTAAAATGTAAAGACAACTTCTGTTATTTTTTTCGGCTCCAATGCAGCAAAGCGCTTAGGCTTCAGTGGTTCACGCGCTTAAGTGCTCCCAGCCAGGCTGTGGGAGGCATTCAGGACAGAAAGGTTTTAAATCATCTATTTAAAATTCCTTTTATACACTGTGAAAGTCCACTGATGGTTCTGTGTTCACAGAGACCCCCCAGAATGCATCCTTATGGGTCATTGCTGATACCAAAAGTCTCCATGCACCGACTCTTCTGGTGCATGTGTTGTCCTGGAATAATGCATTCTGGTGCATCACTAATGAGCTCAGAAGAGGGAGTAAACTTTAAAAAGAATTCTCTAAACATTTAGTTAAAACAGTATTTCTCTATCTAAGCATTTATACTGTACTCACTATATTTGAGCCCAGAGTAGCAGATGGTACTATTTTTAAGGTTGTAATAAACCAAAAATAAATACTGCTTATATGCCCCATTTCTGAATTGCCTGTTGTAATTTTTAAACTTACTTTAACAGCAATGACAGGTTTCAGAGTAGCAGCCGTGTTAGTCTGTATTCGCAAAAAGAAAAGGAGTACTTGTGGCACCTTAGAGACTTACAAATTTATTTGAGCATAACAGCAATGCTACTTGCTGCCTTAAATACTGGATCCATAACCACAGATCCATATTAAACTACAACTGCATTGCTTGGGAACAACTTGGCTATTTGTGCAATTACTGTGAATGCCTTCACCTCATGCCTCACAATATGTCCAAAGCTGATAACAAAATCTAAATAATGGACACCCTTCTATTTCTGCTTCCTTAATTTTTAACAAGCCCCACTCATGTTCCACTTATAAATCCCATGGCCTTGTAAAAATTACTGGTTCATAAAACTACAGTGAAATCTGATGAGCAATGTTACCAGTTTACTAATGCTAACTCTGCCATTACAGCAAATGTTGCTATAACAGATCTTCAAACAAAATGCAGTCTTTATATACTAAATAGAGTATAAATAAATATAACCAAACTGGGACTTGAAAGAGGACATTGATTCCACAAACCTACATACAAATAAGTATCAGGTTAAATGAGGGAAAGTGAATTATAGCTGTATTTACACTTTACTTATTCTAACCAATGCACTACTCTGTTGTAATATTTTCTCTTCTAGAAGGAGATAGGGAAGAAAGCATATTGTGCAAGAGTCCCCCTGCCTTCATCTTCATCAGCACAGTTCCGTCAACACTAGTTGGCATTTTTCTAACTGTGGTCAGGAGAAACATGACTAGCCCTAATCCTAGGTGAGATATCATTTCCTATAATTTTTCACATCTATAGCACCTGCCACCTGAGGATCTCAACGCACTGTGTACACATTAACTGTAGACCATACCAATACACTACTGAGACGGGAAAGTATTGTCTGCAGATTATGAAAATGAGGCACAAACAGGTGAAGCAACTAGCCCAAGGAAATCTTTTAAAGAATCAGGGATAGAACCCAGATCTCTTAACTCTTAGACCTGTGCTTTATTCAAACATTTTTAGAACAAAATATTAGCTTGGCACTGATTGAGTTAGACACCCTCGCCAAACTGCAATACAGAGAAAAGAAGGCACAAATAGCAGCCGATGGGAAATAGGATACTAGTTTTAGAGGAATCTGTAAACTGAGAGTGCTGAAAAAATGTGATTAAAATGCCTACAGCTGCAGACACTGCAAATCCCTTCCTGAAAAGAATTAAAAAGCTATATGTGCTGAGACAACTATGCTGAGAAAGGGAAATGGTGAATGAGCAGTCTGATCAGTAATTCCATTTTCCACTTCCTTTCACTTTCTCACTCAGCACATATGGGTATATATGGCAATAGTGGGGAGGCACTGACGCTAAGATGATGATGGTGCAGACTGAGGGACAGAAAGTGGATTTAATAAACGTAGATATTTAGTGCTTATAATTAAGGGTCCGATCATGCAAAGTGATCAGCACCTCACTGCACTGGGCCCTTGTTCTGGGGTGCCAGAAGATTTACACAATGCAAGAATTCTTCTTGTACATGAAAGACAGGATCCATACCCAATTTTACCATAACATCCTTGCATGTTGAAAAGGAATACAGAGAAGTATTGGAAAGGTCTGATTCTGCAAGCAATAATCTTTTCAATACTTCTTGCTTTCCATTCTGAAATGGTAGATTTTTTAAATAGACATTTAATACCACACTTACATCCTCTGACATAAAACCATAGGCTATTTTCTATTTCTTAGACAGTAAGATTCCTTCCAAATATTTAATTAAAGATCTTCCAATGACTGCCAGGTGGCATACTCTGGCCTCGTCAAACACTTCAAGACTTAGCTCAAAGTCAGGATGAAATGGATATGTAACCCCAAAACTTCAGCAAGGAAATAATCTGAAGGAAGATGTATGGTTTTTAAAGCCAAAAGCACTGAAATCCTCAAGTTACCTGGTTGAATTTACACCTCATACTAATGTCACATTTCCATCTTACCGTCACCAAAAAGGCATTTTCACTCTGAAGACTGTAAAAGAGGTGACTCAGTAAGGCCTTCTCTTCACTAGGAAAAAACGTGTTTTCTTAGCTAACATGGTAAAAACTTTATGAAGACAAGGCAGTTGTAGTTCTAATATGTGTTAGCAGGTCAAGGTAAACCCTAGGCTCCCCTCTAGAGTTTACCTGGACCCACTAACACATTTCCAAACAACAAACTATTGGCCATTACTAAGATTTTACCACCTTAAGAAAACACATTTTTTCTGTAGTGTGGACTTACTCCAAGATCTTTTAAAACCAAGCTGTGAGAGACTTACAAAGTGCTTTTTTTCTTAAAGCACTTATTTTAATTTCAGTAGGTATTTGAGAGTTCTGAGCTGCAGGATCATTCAAGTTAAGCATGAAATAGTGACCCTGCTATCAGCAGCCATTTCAGAAAACATCTGGATTTTTTTTTTTTTTGGCAAAGATTTCCTCCAGTTCTAATTCTGTTTTTCTCTGCAACATGAAAATGGATTCAGCAGTTGATCACAGAAATGTAGGGCTGGAAGGACCTTGAAAGGTCATCTAGTCCAGCCCCATGCTGAGGCAGGAACAAGTATACCTAAGACCATTTCTGACAGGTATTTGTCTAACCTGTTTTTAAGAACCTTCAATGACAGGGGTTCAAAACGACCCTTGGAAGCCTGTTTCACCACTTAACTATCCTTGTAGTTGAAAGGTTGTTCCCAATATCAAACCTAAATGGCTCTTGCTTCAGACTAAACCCAGTATTACTTGTCCTATTTTCAGTGGACATTAAGAACAATTGATCATCCTCCTCCTTATAGCAACTATATTGAAGACTCTTAGTAGGTTTCCCCTCAGCCTTCTCTTTTCAAGATGAAATATGCCTACTTTCTTTTTAAACCTTTTGTCGTTTTTGTTCTTCTCCTCTTCTCTCCAATTTGTCCACATCTTTCCTAAACTGTGCAGCCAGAACGGGACACAATATTTTAGATGAGTACTGTGAGACAATTACCAGGGCTGAGTACTGTGAGACAATTATCTCCCATGTTTTACATACAGGACACGACAGAATAATATTAGCTTTTCCCACCATAAACCCCAGATCGTTTTTAACAACTGCCTAGACAGTTATTCCATTTTGTTGTTGTGCATTTGATTTTTCCCTCCCATGTGTAGTACTGTCTTTCTTGAATTTCATCTTGCTGAATTCAGACCAATTCTCCAATTTGTCAAGATCCTTTTGAATTTCAATCCTGTCCTAAGTGCTTGCAATCCCTCCCATCTGTAAATTTTATAAGCATACTCCCATTCCATTATTCAAGTCATTAATGAAAATATTGACTAGAACTGGACCCAGGACTGACCCCATGCAACCCCACTACATATATCCTCCCAGACTG